TGCTATATAATATAAGCAAGGTAAAGCCCACATAAATAATTACGCCGCAATACAATAAGGGGTGGGTAGACAAATGGTTGAAGACAATGTGAAGACAGTAGCCCAGTGTTACAATAGAACACTTCGATTGTGGGGAAATGAATAAAAGGCGACAATGCAATCCTACTATGGATGTACATAGTTGAAATTATTATTTGAAGTTGGAAGGAAGAAGTGTCGTGATGGCCTGGAGGTTTAATACGCCCGTTTCTCATGCATGAGGGTTCAAAACCTACCGACAAAAACTGTGACTTTGAGGTCGTGAGGAAACCTGGACTTATAATTTCTAATTGTAACTTTGGAATCGCCAACCCGCATTGAGCAAGCGTAGCGATTAATGCTCAAACTTTCTCCACGTGTGAAGAGGCTTTGCTCAGCTGTGGCCACTTATAGGCTGGTGATGATGATGATGATAAGGAAGTAGTGTAGAAAGTTCTGATTCAATGAGTCTATGTGTGTGATATACATAGGTTTTAAATGAAAGTTACTGGTTAGTCGATGGTTATCGAGTTGTTGGAAGTAAGATGGCTCAACTGTTCAAATACGATAAAAATGTCTTGTTTGCTATATTTTTAATAGCAAATAAACAACATTAAATGTGAAATGTAAGTATTGCATTATTATTAACTCGTCGAGTACCGGTTTTGTAGACACAATTATAGAACAATAGGTTGCGGTCACTGGTGACCGCTTGGTATTTGACAGTTTAATATTTGAGAAATGTATTAAGCCATAACGAGTCTTATAAGAGTGTATTAACAGTGTGCGCAGCAATGCAAGAATATTGGCGTAATTTTCTTACAATAAGGCAATTTGAATAAAATTCTTTACGTAAATAAATATGACACATATTTTCTACAATAAATTAAAAACAAAAAGATCGTTAAATAATAAAACAACACCCAGAACTGTAGGTACCTTTGACTGTACAAGCACGAAGTACAGATGAAGCGATTCTTCGGAGTTGACATCTCGACTAGGGCGGCGACGAATTTATAAAGCAAGTGAAAAATGATACAAGACTCGACATCTCCCCCACCAACTGTAGGCTGCACTAATATTGATGTTCAGGTCTTAATTGAAGCAGGGCTTTAGATAAATAGTGTTTTTATTTTCTTTGGGACTTTGAGAGTCTAGTTAAACTGGTTTGTGTGAACGAATGAGAGTCGCAAGAATGTACCTCTAGTTACACAGAAATCTTCAGAGCATGAGAAGTATCATTGGAACCTTTCATTAAGTATTTGAAATATAAAGTGATAATATTTCATGCATATCAGTGGTCCACTGTCACTGGACATTAATACAGCGATCATTCCGAAAGATTTCACTCCCCCTGTAGCTGGCGACATAACTATTATTTATTAGCGCATGCGTCCTGCTTGGCGCCATCTCTCGCTGAAATTATAGAGTTAGGGGGCGATAGAGAAGTTGATCATTGTATTTTATCGGATAATCATGGGGATAATAAATTTATTGGTCTTCTTAACAATTTGCGCATGTTACTTCTAGTTAAAATATTGCGTTATGTGCATAATGTATATTGTATCTTCATTTGATTAGTAGTAATTTTAAAGTTATACATATAAATTGCACATAGTTATTGTGGTTCTACTGTTGGTCATGAACCAAATAAAGCTTTCTGGGATCATGTTTCCACGGCTCCACCAGAATTATGTCACGACTTCACAGAACATCGACGTGAAACAGCACTTGCGTAAAATGAATGAGGTGACCAGAGGCTCAATTACTCCCTCCCAAATCTCCCCTATCCCCGATTCCCCAACCATCCTCAAATTCCTAAACCTCTTGAGGTCGGTAACGCGCTTACCATCGGTCTGCTCGTTCGTATATTCCATAAAACAAACAAGAAGGTAACTCAAAAATGCTATACCAAAGTATCACAAATTATGACTGCTCCGTCAACAAACTAACTCCAATCAGATCAGATCATAGGTACACTTCTACACCATCCTAACTCTACACAAAACTTTCGTCGCATTTTCCATTGTTCTTACTCATTGAAACATCTAACAAAAAACCCCAGCTCTTCATACACCTCTATTCCTTTACTGTAAGATCCAATTTCCTTTAGCATATGCATTTAGGCTTGATATTTAAGGGTAGAGGCCTTTGTTCAAAAGATTTCGTTCGGAAACTTGTGCCCTTTACTAATGAGCTGTTTGGAAGGAAGTGTAGTATTCATTTATTTATTTATTTATTTATTTATTTATTTATTTATATCAACTTTATACAACGAGTGTGTACAGGTGGACTTAATGCCTTGGGCATTGTCTCCCAGTCAACCTTTAAGCAGTGCAGAGATGAAAGTAGCAGTAGCAGTAGTATTCATCATATTTATTGGACAGTTTGTGAATGATAATAGAGAGGGATTCATGATTATTGACGCCTTTTTTGTTTTGGGGGGGGGGGAGATGGAGATGGTGATACTGCCAAGTTGTGGTTGGATAGTTGAAGAGTTAGTGTGACGTATAGTCCATTCGTGGTAAGAATTAAGTAAGTCATAATTGTCTGTCAACCTAGCCCCGTTTATGAATTCATCACTACGAATTATAAAACAAAGTCGCTATCCGCCGTCTGCATGCCCCTATGTTTGCTTAGATCTTTGAAACTACGCAACGGATTTTGATGCAGTTTTCTTTAATAGATAGCGTGATTCTTAAGAAAGGTTTATATGCATAACATGTTAAGTATAATCCTTTAAAATCTTTATCTTGCGTTGTACTGATGATTCATTGCATTCTTAACGCCAACAGACTATAGTGACAATAGAATGAAAACTTCTTTCAAAAAAGTCAAAGTCAAAATTTCCGACAGAGTTAATTGTTTTGTTTGAATTTCAAAAATTAAGAACATAAGGGCAGGGCAGAGTTGCAAATTATACGGCACTTAATGCTACTGTATAATGTAACATCCATTTGTCACTATTTATGTTATGAATGAGTCCCATATAATAGGGGGTGAGCTTATTGCCATATACCGGGCACAATCCCAGGCCCCGTGCTACCACTGAGATTTAGAAAACCTAGTAATACTTTGGCCGACCCTGGAATCGAACCTGAGACCCCTAGTTCGGCAGTCGCACTTGCGACCACTCGGCCTTTTTATCCCCGAAGGGGTCTTGGGGATATATAGGCGTGATGTTATTATTTTTTTAGTGGAATAGGAGGCAAACGAGCGGACGCATCACCTGATGGTAAGCGATCAGCGCCGCCCATGGACACCCGCAACACCAGAGGAGTCACAAGTGCGTTGCCGGAGAATGTTATGTTATTTCCATACAAGCGTTGAAAAAACGCAAAGAAAATAATTTAACATATTTTTCGGTCGCTTTATGAAGTAATTAGCAGACGTGAGCCAAAATACATAATATAATGGTTTTCTTTAACTTGATTTTGATGATACATGCAAGTAATTACAGTCTATCATCATACACAGTGTCGCATAATTAATAATTAATTATATACACAATTAATTAATAACAGTACGTGTCACTTCTCATGATTAATTATCTACTTGAACCTCCTTACTCAAAATAAAAGCCTAATTCTATCATAATATCATTTTAATATTCAACATTAAAATTGCCAACATACTTTCTTAAATTCCTCTATGAAAAGCGACGACGTGTTTCAAATATCTCCCTGTAGGGGGCGCTTGGGGCGTACTTCCGGTTAATGACAGTGGATAAACGATGTCACATCCGGTTAGCTTTGTGCTCGATCGCTTCATTTCCCGCGATGTAGACTTTAGACAATTTTAATGGAGACATTAGTTAAATAGATGAGGCTGTTTCCCATATTTTGTTTAGTTTATCGTGTTTTAATAAATTAAAATGATGTTATAGAAGTTGGCATTAAACAAAAACTGATTTACAAACCATACTCGTCGGAGCAACTTCAGTACTTGGTGATATGGTATACATTTATCCTGGACCCTTATTAAATTATAATCTAGATTCTAAACGATGTTTTTAAGAGGGGAAAATCATCGAATGACTTCTCCCGCCTGAGTGAGGCGGAAGGGAGTGTTAGACTCTTACTGACTAAAAACCACCCCGTTCCTTCTCCTGCACGTCGTGCCGGAGCCCCGGTTACCCGTTAGGTTCTCTGCAAAAGATTCTAAAAGAATGGAATCCAGTTCAAAGCCAAGACAAAGCCAAGAGAAGATAAATAGACATTTTTCTTTTTTAATAAAATGATTATAGTTATCTGCCTAACCTCCTCAAAGAGTAAAACGCGTGATGTTATGTTACATTATGTCAAAGAAATAATCTTTAAAATCTTTAATAGTCAAAACACACAATTAAATACAAAAAATTGTCATTAAAAACGTCTAATTCCTTTCGCCTCGTTAATTTCACGCGGTCTCAAGAAGGACCCATTGCTTTACGACCTACTAGCGAAAAAATAATTAAAAAACACAAAATGGCGGCGTTTAATGACCTTTTTAGAGAAAAACCGGTTTGCGGCGTTGGTATATTTTCATTTTGGTTTTTGGCAAAATTTTACATACGTTTTTAGCAGTTTATTTTATGACGTAAGACTGTGGGTGGATAAACCACGTGTTTTTCTTATTTTCTTTACAATGTCTAATGAAATAAAGTTTCATAATTTTAATACTTTACACTTTGTTATTTCATGTTTCCGTTTTACTGTTATTACTTAGGTTAGGTTAGGAAGTCAGTACTTCCTAAAAATTGAAATAGTAACTTAGGTATCTCCATAAATCGATATTTCGTGTATTTATGTATGAGACGATGTATATACTAGATAAAGATAGGAATTCAAGATAGTTCATAAAATAGTAAACAGTCAAAAGAACATGTTTTTGACAACTATAAATAACAAAACGAGGAAACTTATAATTATTACAAGTCCTGTATTTGTGTGAAAATTTGTATCAACGAATCATGATTGTAATGTAATCTTTCTTTGTTCTAGGAACTTTTGGAAAAGCGTATTAAGCAATTGGAGGCTCAACTGGAAGAAGAGAAGAGAAGGACACAGAGGGAACGAATGGCCGTCACCAAGCTGCAAAACAAGCTTATAAAGGTAAGTCATTTAATTAATTTATATATTAACTTAAAGGTTCATTTTATGCTTCGGCACGAATGGCCCGGCTCGACCGGAGTGATACCACGGCCTCACAGAAAACCAACGTGAAACAACGTTTGCGATGTATTTCGTCGTATGAGTGAAGTTTCCATAGGCCCAATAACGCAACCCCTCCCCCTTCCACAATCTCTGAATCCCCAACATTCCTCAAATTCTTAATACCCAAAAGGCTGGTAACGCACTTGTAACGCCTATGGTGTTTCAAGTGTCCATGGGTGACGCCGATTGCTTACCATCAGGCGATCCGTTGGCTCGTTTAAAAAAAGGAAAGCCTGGTGATTGTGGAGGAATGTAGTGCCTTGGTTAACTATAATATTATTTTACTAAATAGGAAACGTTTTTGATAAGTTTTGATATACCTGTGAATTTGTAGGCAATTGTTTTTGGCAATTGCGATTTAGACAAAATAAGTCATAACTCGATATACTTTGAGATTCAGTTTTGAGTAACAATTTTCTTTACATTGATACAAATCTTTCTGACCTCCTTCGGTATTGGTTTAGTTTCAGATAAGCTGCCTATTATAAAAACTAAGCTAACAGTCTATCTTGCAATGTAATTCGACAATACAATTATGTATCTATTTATCTATCTTTAAATTTATAAACTTCGAAAGATCCAATCAAACTTCAACACTCCCAATCCATTATCAAGTCTAAAAACAAACTCAATCATTCAAATATTTATTTTGATATGGCAACACCGAAATAATTTCTCGCAAGGGTTGTCAGCATTCGAAACAATGTAAACAACTGTCTGTCTGTCTGTCTGCCTGTCTCAATCATCTTTTATCAAGCGAAACAAAAGACGGATACTTGACAGAAACCTTTTAAAGGATTATGTATGGAAGGAGAAAATTAATTGAATTTTTCGTTTGCTTCCAATCTCCCGGGTTTTATAATCTGTACCGTTAAATATCTGTGGATTGAAACATTTGCGACTCTGTTGCCATGGTAACGGGGGGCTTAAAGAGAAGTGTGATTGTGATTCGTTTTATGCACTTATAATAAGTTACTTAGTTTGGATTTGTTAAAAGTATTGATTTGATATCTATTTCTTAAGAAAATTTTACAACATCTTAAATATTAGCAACGTTATCAATAACGCAACTTTATACATTTCTTCATTTGCAAAATCTGTAAATTATTATGTGCAATAGTGGATATCTAAAAAATTAAGACACATTTTTTTTATAACTATTTCATTTAATTTTCAGTTTTAAAGGATTGTGGTAATCAGAAACCCTCATATGTATAAAATTTATTCCTCATCTCACCACAATACAAATAACATCGAACCTGCTCACAGACTTGAAGTTGCTGCACCTTAACGCCCTGAAGTTGTCAATATTTGGCTTCTATTAATTAAAACTCCCCCTGTACTCGGCCGATTCCAGGAATCTCATACCTTGCGTCATAGATTAACTGATGCTATAGAACAGATAGGACATTGGTTTAGTACCTACGTATGTTAAGAAATTTAATATTCTCTTTAGACCGACAGTAGTTCATGCCAAATGTCCTAGAATTGACAGCTTGGCAGAAAAGAGTTTGACGCTGTGACAGCCGGAATTAATTTTCTATTGGACTTAATCACCCACGCAGGACTATATACCATGAACAAAAATTATCCAAATATAGTAAGTACCTCCTCTTTTTAAACTCGATGGAAATAAAAAAAGAATTAGGGTACTTTTTATGCTACGGGAACGCCGGCGAAACCGCGGGCAGAAGCTATTGAATACTTACGAAGTATCGCGTATAATTTCCTAAAATGATATTTAAAACATGTATGCTAAAATGTTCTTAATCTGTGCCCTTTAAACCTATAGGTAGTTCAATTAAAAATGGTGTTGGTAAAATTCAGCTGAGTATAATTTTTTGCTCATCGATACATTCTGTTGGCAATAAGCGAGAAATGCCAAGCGTAGTTATTTGTAATATTCTTTTATTGTTACTCGATATTACATTTCAGTAACAGGCAAGGGTAACTTTTATTTAAATTTTTTAATGATTTCAATCGACTGGGTTTTTGTTATATTATGAGTGTTTATTATAATAACACCTAATATAACATAACATCACGCCTTTTTATCCCCGAAGGGTAGGCAGAGGTGAACATTACGGCACTTAATGCCATTGTACAATGTAACACTCACTTTTCACTATTTATGCTGTATATGTTATATAATAAGGGGGTGAGCCTATTGTCATATACCGGGCACATTTCCAGACTCCGTGCTACAACTGAGATTTTTTTAAAACCCAATAATACTTTGCCCGACCCGAGAATCGAACCCGAGACCCCTTGCCCGGCAGTCGCACTTGGGACCACTCGGCCCATGAGGCAGTCGTGAAAAAGTCACAACCAAACATACAAAGTTCGCATTTATAATAGTAGTAGGAAACGTTGGTATTTGATTGAACTCTAGCTACTATTGTTCATGACCTTGCGACGTCTATCAACATTTGCATTGTTTTAAATAACCGACTGCTAGTCAAAGCATTCAAAAAATGGTGTGTATCGAGGGTGCATATGCAACCTTTTTGTGCTTTTTGGACACCGTCTAGTGGAGTACAGATATTCCGAAACAAAGGGTTATTTTGGGTGCTGTACTGGAAAAAGGGTGGAATATTTTGTCAATGTTTTGTTTTATTTTTTGAGTATTTTGTGTTAGTATTCCATAGGTAGGTACTCAATTTAGTGTAGCTAATTTATTTGTCGTTTTGTATTATCATCTTTATAGGATTTTTTAAGGGGGGAAAATAAACGAATGACTGTTCTGACTCTTACTGACTAAAAACCACCCCGTTCCTTCTCCTGCACTTCGAGTCGGAGCCCCAGTAACCCGTTTGGTTCTCGACGACATCTTGTTAGGATAGCTATAGAAAATATGTACACAGGCTTATCTTATAATACTATACTTTAACAGAGAACTTATCAGTTTAATTTTATTACAGAGGCTTAGAATCTTAAAGATATATTCAATGTAAAATCGTAATAAATACTTTGAGCAAATTTCATTTATGAGCGTTCACGAGGCGTCGGTTTATACCAAGTTATAACTTAAAATATTCTCTTATGACTGCCTCGTTGGACGAGTGGTCGCAAGTGCGACTGCTGGGCCCTTGCCCAGTCGTTTTGGGGTCGATTCCGAGGTTGAGCAACATATTACTGGGTTTTTTAAGTTCTGGAGTCTGGAGTTGTGCCCGGTATATGGCAATAGGCTTACATGCGACTCATAATATAAATAGTGAAACGTGGGTGTTACATTGTACAGTGGCATTATGTGTCGTAATGTGCATCACTGTCTGTCTCTCCGGGGATAGATGGCGTGATGTTATATTTTAACTTAAAATCTCGTACCTTGAAACCGCTTAGGTGAAGAATATTTCGCCTCTAAAATAAATCGAGTTATCTATAAATATACTTTCACACACCTACGTTTGATTCTCCACTTCAGGTAATTTCAGAAATGAACCTGACTTTAACAGGTTCGCCCAGCAGTTATACTAACTTGTAACGACCCAATTAGAGTACCGGCTGTCTGCGGTTGCGGGTTCGATTCTGATCGAGACATTTATATATCTTGTGGTATATAGTGTTTGACTATTATAGTCGATGCTGAGTGTATATTTTAATGTGTTCTGTACTGAGGTAGATATGTAGTTATTTATGTTGGGTAGACAAGGGTGAATGACTTGTCTAGATGCAAGGGACTATTGAACGTCTCTTATTTCGTTTTAATCTTACCATTACGAGGCTCTATGTGTGACTTCTGTTTGTTAGATCCTCGCTCAACGTGTCGCGGTTTCGATACCCGCACGGAACAACTCTTTGTGTGATCCACAGATTGTTGTTCTGGGTCTGGGTGTCATGTGTATGTGAACTTGTACGTTTGTAAACGCACCCACGACACAGGAGAAAATCCTTGCGTGGGGCAAGGTTTTTTAAAAAGAAAAATAGATCAATAAGCCTTTTTATCCTGAACCTAAATTTTTGTTCAGTGTGCCTTTTGGCAAAAGCCTCCTCCAACCTTTTGAAGTCTATCTCTGGCGAATCTTCTCCAAAAACGGCTCGCTGTTGTTTTAACTCATCCTCCTATCTTTTGGGTTGTCTTCCTCTTTTCCTTTTTCCTTCTCTATTAGATCTTCATAACAATCAAATGTCGGACCAAGTCTTAGTTCAATTATTATTCTATTGATTTTGCTGCTCCACTCTAGTACCGATTTACTTAAGTAACATCACTCCTTTTATCCCCGAAGGGGTAGGCTGATGTGCACATCGGCACTTAATGCCACTGTACAATGTAACATCCACATTTCACTATTTGTGTTATGAGCCAAATGATCAAGCTATGAGTCAAGTGAGGCACAATTCCAGATTCCGTGCTACTAATGAGAGTTTCTTTTTTTAACCCAGTAATACTTTGCCCGACCCGGTAATCGAACCCGAGACCCCCTAGAGACCACTCGGCCTATGAGGTAGTCCTAAGTCAGAGCAGAGGTGAAGTCTAACTTGTAGATAATTGGACATTCCTTACATATGAAATTTATTTTTTAACGTGAACAAAAGCTTCATAGTCCATAATGGAATAGTCTTAATTAAACTCCCTGTTGTAAATTGGTACCCCTAATCACGACAGAATTAAATTCCCAATCGACTTCTGACGAGACTGCGGATATCGATGATAAATAAATCGATACGAATAAAAGAAACGAAACGATTGTGATGAACAATGCAACGGCTTTTTGTACCTAAAATTTGTAAAAGGAATATTTTATGCTGTGAGTGTGTGTGTGTGTGTGTGTGTGTGTGTGTGTGTGAATGTGATGTTTTGTTATGTCTATGTATAGTCATTGCTTAGAAATACGTATACCTTGATTCCTACTAATATTATCGTATGTTTGGTTGTTTGTCTTTCTTTCACATTGTAA